TATGTAGTTAGGTTTAAAATAAACCTTGAATGTCAAAAAATTGTAGCCATCTGAGAGAAAATTTGAAGTGACTGAAAATGTAGAATACATCAAAGTGCATGTTACTACTTAAATTAGTCTTTCTGCTGGAATCTAAGGAGTGTGTATGCCCCCTTGTGGTTAATTATTGCTCCTTTAATAATTTTTACTTGAAATGATCCACAGTTATTTCATAACTTTAGCAGTGTGTTTTGGAACTACATGTTTTTTACTCAAGTCTTTTTTTTTTTTTTTATGCTGTATAATTTGGGTGAGGACTATAAAGCTGGGCATGATTTTGCCTTGTAAATGGATTTCTGCTGGGGAATCTTGGCTGTTCTGGAAATGCTTTCCCACAGCTAGGAAACTGTTCTAAGTAGCTTTTGATAATGCTCATGCATCTTGGAGTTTCAGAAGGAAATTTTTCTTCATCACAGATCCTGAATTTTACATTTTCAAATTATGATAAATCATTCAATATTGGTTCATGGTGCTTTTATTTTCTTAACTTGAAGGCATCTTTCTGAGGTCTCCAAGTCTTCAAATTTCTAATATTATTAAGAGAGAAAATAGGGTATAGCCTTTTAAACATATGTACAATAAACACCTCTGAAAATTAGGAGATAATTTGGCTTTCTGCTGTTTCACTGTACTTCCTTTGAAATACTGAGAGAGTATAGTCATAATGGAATTATGATTTTCAGTGATATTTCATTTTTTTTAATTTTGCTTATAAGATAAAATTTTTGTTTTATGTTAAGCATTAACATTTTAGCATATAATAAAACTAGAACCTGATGTCTCCTTTAAAAGGTATGTTAACATTCCATGTAACTTTTCTGACTTTTTATTGGTAGGTTGCAGATATTACTATTTTCCAAAATACCAAAGTATACAGTTTAAGTTGCTGCTTATTGATGACAGAATTTTTGGATACTAGGATTTTAATAGGCATGCAAATTAAATAATTGATTTCTATAAAAAATGTCTGACCAAAGGTAGCTTGATTTTACCCAAAAAATATTGATAACTAATTGGTTGACATTTCTGATGGGGACAGCTCAGTACCAAATAGCTAAACACTCACTATGGATGTTTATACAGGCAGGGTACCAGGGGCTCTATCATATCAACCTGGCAATGCACTTGATGGTTTGTGTGACCTTAAAAAAGTCCCTTCTGCTGCTTTGTAGGTTCTTTTAGAAACTGAGATTTCATCTGTGGTGTTTTCATATTTTATTTCAGCAATAGAACTTTTTTTTTTTTCAGGTAAAATCTTACTCAGAAGCCCTGCACACACATGCTATACCCCTCCCCCCCCCCACACACACACTACCCCTCTATGTGAGTCATGTTTTATTAATATAAATTTCCTTATGTAAACTTTATATACCATAATAAATATTATAAAGTCAGCCAATAAAAACATGTATAAATGCATTGGCGATATCCAGGATATTGGAATTTAGTGAGTAATATAGTTGTATGATGGGAGTTGTTTTTTAAATTAATTTTTTTTCAAAAAAAATTTTTTTAATTCAAGTCAGATTTGCAGAACCTTGACTCTCCTCCATGAAGTCTTAGTATTCCATGGGACATATTTTGAAAACTTTAGGATAGATGATCTCTGAGATCTTTTTCCACCTCTAAGATTCTAAATTGTCCTTTTGGATTAGACTTGCTGAGTCTAACTCATTGCCTAATTGAAGAATGTTTCTGAAAATGAACAAAGTTGCTGTACATGTTTTTGGATCTTTCCAGGCATAGCCTATGATCTTATCCCCCGGAATCCTTCATCTTTCAAGGAATTATTTAACAGTAAACCCAGAGAGACTCGATGTTGCCCAAACCTTTTTACTTTCCAATATGAGCTCCAGGATACTATCTGGTCTACTGTGAAATAGAAAGTGTTTTTATTAGTCTTATTAAATAAATGAGCACAGTTTTTTGCCCACTCCATTAAACTGGGTGATAATTCTTTAGATGTGAATGTTACATAGGTTCTACTATTATAACTAATCATAAAAGTTGTAAATTTGTTTAATGGATGAAATGTACACTTTTTGTATTCTGTACAGCTTTGTCTTTTCCAAATATGAAGTACTTAAATGTACTTACTAAGATAGGAAATATGATGTGTGCCTTGTAGGATCTGTGAAATGTTTTCATGAAGTCTAAAGAATTTGTTTTATAAGTTATGAAGTTTTCCCTATCCTAACTCAGTAACAAGAAGTTTACTCATACTGTAATGCTATAGAACTTTAGTTTGAGAAAATGTACTTGACTGGGTACTGAATTTAGAAGCTGAAAATAATAGTATCTGCTTTATTCTTAGGACAAACTGATATATTGTGCAATAAATAATCTTTAGCAAGTAAATTTTAGCTCACTGGAGAGACTTTTTTCTTACATAGTTTCACATTGTTATATACTAAATGTTTATATTCCTTAGAGAACTATTTTGTATTGTGCTCTGGGGAGTTGTGATGTTTGTGTGCTATGTTTTAAAATTCATTTCAAATTGGATTCAATTTCCTTATACCTGATATATATCTGGGTTATAAGGCTGCTTGAAAATATCTTTTGGTTCCGTGATTTTTAACATTGGAAAGTTGGATTCATTAAAAGGCAGTCTGAAGAATTTGCATTTTTAACTGTTTTTTTTCTTCATTAGAAAAAGTAAGACAAGCTTACTTTGTCTATCCAGGAATAAGAAAACTATTTGGAGATTAGGGAAATCAGCTGATCACCCACATTATGATGGGCAACAAAATGACAATATGATATAATATATATAATATATATACAATATAAGTCTATATATATATATATACAATATAATATAAATAGTTGACAACAGACTTTCATTTGTTCTCATGTCTTTTTACCCTGTTGGACAGTAAAAAATAACAGATAAAATACTCCACCCTATATTAGTTTTAATGTTTACTTGTAAAATCATTTCCAAAATTAAAGAATATAATTAGAGAAGCAAGGTAGAATCTTAGTGCTGAGAAGAGGAAAGCCACTTATAAAAAGGAATGGTAGTTTATAATTGAATTTGCTGATGTACATCATCTTGAAGAAGTACACATTTTGGTATCAAGAAACATAAAAGCCTCCTCAGAGATATATTTTGATAATCTTGCAGCTGTTTATAGCCTTACTCTCTGGCATCCTCGATCTTTCTGATAAAATACTTATTTAGTATTTTATCAGAAAGTATTTAGTATCTGATAAAATACTTAAAATTTCCAAGAAACTATGTTTTTCTGATTAGTGTTCCTTTCATTGCAGTTAGTTACACTTGTTCTTTATAACAGTCATAGTCAGGTATCGAGTGCTTAGGTATATTACCAACATATCACCTTCAGTCGTGTCTACAAACCCCAAAAAAGATGAATATTGTTTCACTCGGAAACAAGTAAAGAGGAAGCCAGAAGGATGTGCTTGCAACTGTGCTTTAATCCAAGATAAGAGGAAGTAAAGGCCCGGGACAGGCCTTGGTACATACCAACCCAGGAGCTGTGATTTGTTTTCATGTGGCAAAGAGCAATGTCATTAATCATTTCAACAATGCAGTTTGAAGTAACACACACATGAACTTGAGCCTTTTAGAGTAAGGGATACATGCCTCAAAATTTGTTCTTTCAGAAACATGAGCTAGTCAATATGTGTTCTGAGGACCTCTAAAGGGGTGTCCCTGAAACTTTTTCAGGAGGTCTAGGAGGTCAAAACTCTTTTCATAATAATGCTAAAAAATTATTTACCTTTTTATTTTCATTCTCTCACAAGTGGACATGGAGTTTTCCAGAGGCTACCTGATGTGTGATATTGCCACAGATTGAATAACGAAGCAGATATGAGAATTAAGCTCTCTTCTATTAAGCCAGATACTTAAAAGATTTGCAAAATTAGAAAACTCTGCCACTCCTCTCACTAATTTTTTTGTTTTGTGACCTATACTTATTTTTCATTAAAAAGTTATTTATGGTAGGGCGTCTGAGTGGCTCAGTCATTACGCGTCTGCCTTTGGCTCAGGTCATGATCCCGGGGTCCTGGGATCAAGTCCCACATCGGGCTCCCTGCTCAGCAGGAAGCCTGCTTCTCCCTCTCCTCCTCCCTCTGCTTGTTCTCTCTCTCTCTCTTTCTCTCAAATAAATAAATAAACAAAATCTTTAAAAAAAAAAAAAAAAGAAAGAAACATGAGCTAGTGTACATTTGCCTTTGATTCCAAGTGTGAACACAAAAGAAAGTAGGGATTTACCGCCCCCCTCCCCCAAAAGGCCAATTAGGTACAAAGATGTGATAAAAGTGCAAAGCGCTATTGAAAAAGGTGTCTGAAAAGTTTGCAGGACTGGTAAAATCAAACAAGTGTTAGCTGAATAGACTAAAGTAATATCCAGGGAAAAGGAACACAGGTGGCTTTGCTCAGGAACTGTCCAGAGCAGAAGTTAGAGGAGAAAGATAGCAAAGGTTTACCTTCTGGGTCTAATGAGCTTCACTTTAAAAATTTTGAGTATTTATTGTGAATGTCATCCATGTCTGAGTCTTAGTAAAAGATAAATTAGTAGTTATTATTGATAACTTTTCATGATGCCCCATCTTTTTTTTAATGTTTTTATTTCAATATAGTTGACACACAATGTTACATTAGTTCAGGTGTACAACGTAGTGATTCAATTTCTCTATACATTATGCTTTGTCACCACAAGTATAGCCAGCCACCATCTGTCACCATACGGTGCTATTACAATATTATTGACCATATTCCTTATGCTGTGCCTTTTATTCCTGTGACTTACTCCATAACTGGAAGCCTGTATCTCCCACTCCCCTTCCTATGTTACCCATCCTCCCACCCCTTCCCTCTGGCAACCGTCAGTTTGTTCTCTGTATTTATTGGTCTGATTCTGCTTTTTGTTTGTCTATTCATTTGTTTTGTTTTTCTTTAAATGGTATTAACTTGAAATCATTTTAAATTATTGAGCCACAGTCCTAACAGACTTTATTTAATAACTAAAAATAAATACTTGGTACAGATAAAATGACAATGAAAAACTGTACAATAATTGCTGTGTTAGGACAAATGTGTACAAATGGGGGTTTTTCAAAAATAATGCATAAGATATGCAGGGTTTTCAGTCAATTTCATCATTGGCTGGAAGAGCACACATGTCTGCCTAATAAAAAGACTACATTTACTGTTCTGTATGCTAAGTTAACCAGTGGAGGGGATGAGCATTATAAAGTCACAGGACAAGACAATCTAAAATCAAATAAGCGTCTTCACAAGCAAAAATAGAGTTCTTCTAAGTCTATAATAATTCAGAAGGGCTTCTCATAATCTGCATTTGCCCACAGAAATAGACAGAAGGGTCTTAGAGCAACTTGTTGACTACTTGGAGCACGTGTCCTTAAAAAGTTGCCAAAAGAGAAATTCATTCAGTTATTCAATGTACATTTATTGAGCACCTACTATGTACCAGGCACTAGTAACACAGATGAAGAGTATATTGGTAAAGCTTAAATTCAGATTGGTCTTAAAAAATGCTTTCTGATGAATCACTAAATTCTACCTCTGAAACTAATAATATATGTTAATTAATTGATTTTAAATTAAAAAAAAAAAATGTTTTCTACCTGGCCCCTGGGACCACTTATATCTTCTGAAGAAGTCTGCATGTTAGATAAGGGAGAAATTACACCTTCAAAAAAAAAAAAGCAGAGGTTATAGTGATAAAAAAAAATCTAACCGTTGTGAGGCCTAATGGAATAGTGGGGAAAGGACTGGATTAGGAGTGGGGAAACTAGTTCTGGTCCTATTACTTATTATCTTTGTAACCTCAAGCAAATTTCACCTCTCTGGCCCTAACTCTTCATAAGTAAAATGGTAATTGGGCTACAATCAGAATATTGGAACCAAAAGGAACAGAGATCATCTAACCCTATGTTTTCCACAGTCCTTATAGTTCAAATGAAAATACAAAGAAGGCCCAGTGTAACAGTGATGACAGCAGAGTTGCTTTGAAGAAGGCAGCACCCAGAACCTCCCCCAGCCCTGGAGGGGGATTCACAGAACAACATTTGAAAACCACTCATCTAGTCCAAACCCTCACTTTTCAGATGAGAAAACCAAGACACAGAATAGGAGCAATTGGTTCAGTGTGCACATTTGGCTTCCAAAATAGAAAGGAGGGTGGAGGGCTAAATAAAACAGTGTAAGAAATTCATAAAAAATGCAAATTGTCAAGAAGGAAGTTTTCTATTTTAACTCTCTCAAAGTAGTTCCTTTATGAAAGGGAGCTTTGAAATTGGTTTTGCTTAAGGCAGCCAGCCAGCCAGAGGCTGAAATGAACAACTACCAACTAGCCTGCAGGGTCTATAGAGGATTTTGGCAGAAAACCACACAGACCTCATGTCAGTAGGCACTGGACCTTGGAAGATCCTGGCCCCAACAGTGCAAGCACTAGGAGTTTCAAGAGAAATATGTGGAAAATTTGGAATGAGTACAGACAAGTGTCCAGCTCCCAAATCCCCAAGGAGGAGTCACCATCTATTACTCAGAAATACTGACAGAAGTGGGCATGCTAGATCTTAAAAGTGAACGGTGCAACCAAAATCACTAGTTTGAAAGTTCTTTAGAGGCATCCTCTCCAAGGAGGACCGTCCTAGTTTGGTATCTTGACCGCTGTTAATCACAGCAGACTTGAAATTAAACCAAAAAGTTAAAATGCATGTCCACTGCTGGACCTATTGGGTCAGAGCTGTGATCTCTTCTGATTTCATGGCATCAGACAGGAAGCTGAGCTCATTGCATAGGGTCTCATATCGGAACGCCATCCGGATCTGAGCAACATTTGTCTTTCGAATATCATTTCCTTCAGGTCCTTCTTTATAATAATTTTGTCCCAGAAACTTTTGCTTCTCCTGTAGAACCAGAGAAGTACAAATGAAACCATAAACCTTAGGTTCACTTTCTGTATTCACACGACAGCTTTGACATTGGCCACACCAAATCAAACCAGTGCCCCTGAAGCTGATCCTCTACCATGACATGGCTCCCCATGGGGTTCTTAAAAATTCCTCCTGGCTTCTGTGTCCTCAAGGATGTCACCCTGACACCCACATTCATTCCCTTCATTTCTGACTATGCTTTCCTTGATCAGGAGACAAAAATAAGACCCCCAGTGCTGCTGGCAATAAAGAAGGCATGATGAAGGCGTGAAGACTGAGTCCCTCCTGAGAGCCGACAGGGGCAAACAGGTGTTTCTGGGGAGGCCCAGTCTTAGGAAGCAGGTCTGCACAACTGAATCTTGAACCTTAGCTCTTGTCTGCCTGAGCATCCAATAAGAGCAGCACCAGTGCAGCCTCTTCCTGTACCAGTGACGTCACCCAGGGGAGGGCCCCGGCAGCCTAAGACACCGCGTTCTCAACCCTGGCTCCATATCAGATCACCTGGGAAGTTGTACTTACTGATGCACCGGTTCCATCCCTACGATTTTTCATTCAATCTAGGTACTACTCACTATCCAAGAAATACTAAGTGCCTTTATGTGCCAGGGACTATTCCAGGCTCTAGGGATATAATGCTGAAAAAAACAGTCTAATGGAACTACTGTAATGGAACTCACATTCCAGAAGGAAAGACAGGAAAACATAACTACATATTACAATGTCAGTAGTAATAAATGTTATGAAGGAAAACAGATAAAAAGGATAGAGACTGATGGCAAGTGGGGGGCTACTGTAGAACGGTGATCAGGGAGGGCCTCTCAGAGGAGGTCACGTTTGAAGAGAGGTCTGAAAGGGTCAAAGAGCAGCCTTGAAAATTCAGGGGTCTCCCCAGGTTTCTCTAGGACCTGAGTTTCAGTGTGACAGACACCCTGCTTGTTGTCTTCACTGATCTCAGTGCCTAGAAAGTGCCTGGCCTGCAGCGGGCGCCCACTGTACGTGTGTTGCAGGGACAGGGGGGACGGAGGGCAGCACCGTCACAGCCCGTACCTGATGCGAGAGTCCGCTCTGCAGCACGCTGTTCCTGGCGATTTCACACAGGTCACACGTGCTCAGCTTCCACACTTGAGCTGCAATTGCATATTCTTCCATAAGGGCTTCCTAGATCCCCCCGAAAGTAAATGTATTAGATGGTAGGATATCCCTTTCAATCCTTCACATATCTCCAAAGCTAGAAACCTCAGACAGACATTGCAGATTTAATTTTTCCTTAATGTCTGGCACCCGGATAACCGAACAACATTCCCACCCCACGCCCCTTAAATGATGAACTCCTAAGAGCATTTTGGGCAAATTCTCGGGTTTCCCAAGAGAGCTATATCAAAGAACACCTCCACATCGATTTGTTGACCAGCACATGTTTGAAGCCCTGTGTCAGTCATGCGGATGCCTGCCTCGGTCTGCGACAGTCTCCCTGGTCATGCACATGTTAAGTACATGCCCTATAGCTTTGCTTTTTATTGGACATCATTTTCTTAAGATTGTCCAAAATCAAAGTTAATCCAAGTAAAGTATGAAGAGCAGAGATGGAACATAAAATAAGAATGAGAAATGATCAGGTAGTGAGACAGTAATCGCAAAAGGATTTAGGTTTGAGTTGTGCTTTCACTTTATCTCCTAGGATATGAGATGTCTGCGGTTGATCACAAGCTCTTCTGTTACCTCTTGGACGCCCCACTGCCTCTGTAACAGAGAGCAGCAGTTCTCAAAGTGCGATCCAGGGTCCCTGAGGCCTTTTGAAAGGTCATCCCTCTTCCAACTATGTATCTTTGTGAGGCAAGATTTTCTTCATATACTTTGATAAAAACAAGGCATCACAACAGATTGAATGCAGATGCAGATATGAGAATCCTGCTGTCTTCTATTAAGCCAGGCATTAAGGAGGTTTGCAAAAATGTAAAACAATGCCATTCCCAATGCCATTTTGGGGAAATAGGACTGTTTTTCATAAAAATTGCTATTTATGTTACCATGTAATAGGTTTGTTAATGTAATTTTTAAATGAGTTAATATTTTTCAGTTTTGCATTAGTTTCTAAAATACACTTAAATATCACTAGAGATAACTTATGTAGTCAACAGCTTTCTGAGGGTCTTTAATTCTTAAGAGTATAAAGGGGTCCTGAGACCAGAAGCTTGGAGAACCTGTCCTAGAAGACTCAGGCACTTCTGTTTTTACTAGTCAATGGCTGGTCCCCTCTTCACCTCTTCCCTTCCTCTTCCCTTGCCCCACAGATCCAAAGTATTATAATAATAATAATAGTATTAACAAAATGTTAGCTAACATTTTGAGTACATGCTGTATTCAGACACTCTATTAGACTTGGGTTCATTATCTTAATGAATCCTCACTATAAAGTAGACGTAGACATAGAGACAATTGCATCCCTGTTCTACAGATGAAGAGGCAAAAGATAAGAGATCCAGTAACTTAACCAACATCACAGAGATAGTAAATGCTAAAGAAAGGGAAAATAGGGCAAAAAAATTGAGCTGTTCCTTCGAGGGTTCAAGAACTCCAAAGACAGGGCTCCTGGAAGGAATGCTTTTCACTCACCAGGAGCTCACCTCTTGCCTTCACTGGGCGCCAGCCCCCATCCCAAAGGCAGAACTGAGCGTTCGCTCTGGTGCCTGCAGTGTGGGGGGGCAGGCCAGGACTGGGGCCTGCTGGGGCGCCTAACATCCTCACCTTTGTGTAGTGGAACTGCATGGGGTCATCGGTGGAGAGAGAAACATGCAGTCCCTTGTGCAGGAATTCCCTCAGAGGGTTTTTGGAATATTCAAGGAACAGACTGTTGTTGCTAAGAGGAGACATGGCAATGGGGATCTGAGCAAGGTAGTAGAGATACTGCAACACCGGACTCTGCAAAAGAACCACCAGACTCAGGTGACGAGTGCCAGAGAGGGGAGGGAGGAAGGGAGGGCAGAACCCCGGGAGACTGGGTAGTGTCTGTGCAATTCCCTCACCAAGCCCGAGTTCCCCAAAGCCAGGGCACCCAGACCTCCCCCTCCCCTCCCCCACCTCTACCTTCATCTCATCCACCACATGCCCCTCTCCTCCTGGGCTGCCCTCCGCCCCGTCTTGGCTCCAGACAAGACCCAGCTCAGGGCAGGAAGGCAGCTGCAAGGCCCCAGGCTGCCCCCAGCCCACATACTCTGCTCCCCTCCCCCAGGCACTGCCCCCAGTGGGTCAGCCCGGGAGATGCCCACTTTTGTTGTTGTGCTGCTTTGACCACAAACATTCAGGTTGAGTCCATAAACACTCCGGCTCCTCAGAGATGGGAAGGGGCGGGCCTGACAAGGCTAGAGTGGTTTTCTGATGTAATACCCGCCCCCCACGGAATTGTGACACACCGTTAGACCTCCCCAGGATCAGGGCTCAAGAGGAGTCTGAGCAAACATCCTTCTTATGGAAGTGATCCAAAATCTGGAGAAAACCAAATGGGCAGAGTTCGTGGTTGCATTATTTACACAAGCGAAAAGTTGGATGGACTCTGTCTAACAATCGGAGACTAGTTGAATCAGTTATAGACCTTCCAAGTGGTGGGCCATCCTTCCAACAGCCTTTAGAATGAGGACCATAAATACTATGTTGCAGCACAGAAAAAATGCTTATTCAAAGAGAGCAGAAACAAAAAATCTGTGCTTATAAGCACGTTAGAAATAATGCTTTGGTAAAAAAAGAAGAGAATTCTAAATACCAAAATGCTAATAATGGCTACTTCTTTTAAAGTAATAGCAATAAGGGTTTTTGGGTTTTTTTTTCCATTTCTCCATCTTTTGGAAAATCCAAATTGTGATGTGTTTGATTATATTCCTTTCATAATTAAATATGAAACCAAGATGACGACAGACAGCCTGACCCAGAAAAAGGCCCCGGCCTTTTAACGTCACAGGCGAGAGCCTCTCGGGGGCAGACAGGAGCCCAGGTGATCCCACTCCTCCCCCAGGGAGCCCAGAGCGGGACCATGCTTGCAGGGTAGGCTTCCGTGAGGGGCCTGGTTACCTTCTTAAGGAGCAGCCCGTGGGAAATGTTGTCAGCGGTCAGGAAAGCAGACACCAGGTGGGTGATGGAGCCAGCCTCCCCACAGTGAGGCCGGAACAGGAAAGTGCTCAGGCCCCGTTCCCTGAAGAAGTGAGGCTCTTGGTCAGCAAGGACCCCTGGTCCAACCTACTTGGGGCCCCACAGGCTTGGGGCCTGCACCCCCAGCTCAGGGCCTACTCCAGGGGAGACAGTTGCCCTTGGCAGAGTCAACACAGCTGCCAGAGGGCACTCTGGAAACTACCTCTCCCAAAATACAGAGCGCCAGGTCCAGAGATCTTCAGAACCAAGAGATACCACCCCCGGGGAACAGAAAGGGGACCGAGTGGTAGAAAGAGACCCTGCTTTGTCCCCATTCACGCTTCACCAGGCCTTGGAGCCCAAGTTCACAGACCTTCAGAGCAGCAAAGACTATGAGAAACCATCAAGTTCAACCACTTGGTCATAAAAATGGGCAAACCCAGAGCATGGAGTCAGGCGTTAGAAACCCCCGGGCGGGTCAGCAGCAGAGCTAGAACTCAAGCCCCCACCTGCAGAAGCTCAGCCTGGACTGCCCCTCCCCAACACCAGGCAGTGGCAGTCTCCTTTCAATCACAGTCCATCCAAAACCTTCGTACCCACAGACTACACTGGCTTAGGCTGAGCGAGCGGGGCCCCGTGGCCCAGTAGGGGGCAGGAGGGAGGCTAGACTTGCAAGGGGGGGAGCGAACAGCTCAGTGTCAGCTGCCCCCAGGGGCACCCGGCTGCCCCCGGGGCACCCGACTCCCGCCATAGGCGCCCCGTGTGTGTGCATTGGTGGGAATCCGTGCAGGTAAGACCATTGGCCGGGAGCGCCACGTGGGCATGGATTTAGTCTGTGTTGTTCCCTACTATATGTCCCGTGCCTGGGACAGTGCCTGTCACATAGCTGGTATGGTAATTTGTTACATGCATCAGTGCATGTGTGAACACCGTTGGCATAGTGGAAAGAACATGCACGTGTGTTGGCACATCCCATGTCTGTGTCATCCTGGAGATGGACAGGGACACATGTCCGTGCTGGGGGCCGCGGGTATGCACATGTGTGTACAGGCACGGGTTGGGCCGCACTGTGTGTACGACTGCGTCTGGGGTCCGGTGGCCTGCCTGCACGGGCCCGGTGTGGCGTGCTGGGTGTGAGGCGTGAGGGCACGCGGGCGTGTGCAGGACCGGGCTCGCCCACCTGCGGAGGTTGTTGAGCACCATGATGTTGGCGTACATGTAGTAGAGGTAGTAGCTGTAGGGCGGGTTCTGCTCACTGGTCCAGATGTCTGGGTTGGGGCTCTTGTCTGAGAACATGTGGTCGCTGTGCTTGGACTCATCATCCACGCTGTCGAACCCTGTCACCTGGGCAGGAGGAGGGGTCCTGCATCAAGCCAAGGCCGATGAGCTGCCAAAGGCCTTGGAGTCCAGGCTTCCTGGTTCATACCCCAGCTGGGGACCACAGAGCCTGCAGCCACTTTCCTCCCAGGGAGGGGGAGTGGGCACAAGGCCACAATCTGTCCCTCCGTGGCTTCTGAATGTATCCAAGAGGCCAGCCAGGAGAGTGCCAAGCCCTGGGGTGATCGTGGTGACGGTAAGGGAAAACTTGGGCTGGACCAGGTGACCAGTGAAACAGCCATACCCACTGCCCATCTCTCGGCTGTGCCAAGGAGGAGGCCAGCGCTGCGGGGTAGCTGGCAGAACCGGCCAGCAGCAGTGGCAACAGCTGGGAGGCGGAATGGGACAGGTGTTTCCCATCCTCCTACTATGTGTCAGGCCCTAAGCACTTACCACACATCAGCTAATATAACCCTCAGAGCCATCCTGTGAGGGAGGGCTTGGCTGTGAACAACCCAGGCCCAAGATGCTTAGGGAGCTTGCCCATGCAAGACAACCAGGCTCTGAGCCTACACGGGCTCTGGGTCTGGACTCTGGGGCTGTTCGTGGAGGATTCCCCTGGGATGTACCTTTGGGGCCATGGGAAACCAGCCTAGATGCCTCACAAACAAGTCAAGGCAGGCCCCATTCAAGAGGACCCCTTGGAAGGCTGAGCTGTGGTTCCCAGCCTCCGGTCCTTCCACAGCAGCTACCCCTCAGCTGGGACCCAAACCTTGCCCCTAGTCACTGGCTTCCTGGTTACCTGGTCCCAGACCTTGACGAAAGTGTACCCACAGAAGATACAGCTTCTCAGCCAGTGCATGGGGGCAGTTCTTCTAACATGTCTCCCCCCTTTTACTCAGCCACAGCAGTGCTTTGGAAGGGGCTTCTGAAAGACTGCCCACCTTGTTCCACATCTGGCCCAAAATGGGGAGCCCCGGCCAGGTCTGCGAGCCTCGCCCATTCCTACATGGGCAGTAGGTGCCCAGAGGAGCAAGGGACCATGACAGTCTGTGCAGAATCTTCCTTGTCACAGAAACATGTGTCAAAGGCAATAACAGGGCTGCCACCACAGCTCCCAGCACAGCCTGGATGGGGCCGGGGCCCAGAGAGGTACTGTACTCACTAGCCCCATGCCTTGACTGAACTCTCCAGGGCCTGGCATGGAGGCAACATCAGCCCCTCTCCTGAGCTCTGTATCCCACAGATGCAGGGCCTCAAGCACAAAATATGTCCAACCCCCAACTCCTCCTGCTCCCCAAGCCTGCTCTTCCCCCACTTGTGGTAGTGACCTCTGAAGGCACCCGAGACTCTTCCCTCTGGCTCACCTTCAGGCTTTGCCCGGGCCCTGTCGATGCAACAGCGATGCCCACCTCCGTGCCCAGAGGCCCTGGCCTGCCGTCCGCATATGCCTCACTTGTCCTACTTGGGAGGCCCTACAGCGTGAGGATAATAACACCTGCTCGGTAATCGGGCACCTGTCTGCGAATTCCAGCTCAGCCACCTCCTAGCTTCGCGTAATTTCCTCCTGTGTGAACTGGAGCTAGTAGCTACACAGGGCTGTTGTGAGAATTAAATGAGAATCCATGGAGAGCGCTTAACAGTGCTTAACACACAGCAAGCACATGATGATTCCGCTTAGCATTAACACCAACAAAATGACGTGAAGTAAGGTAGTCATGAGCCTGAAGTGAGATCATGTCATGGCATGGATCACGGGGGCAGGCAGCAAACATTCAAAAACCGTGAGCTGTGACCGCTGGTGCAAGCCTCCAGCATCTCTCTCCTGTGCTGGAGCCAGGCCCCTGACTTGCCATCTTGCCCCTTCCCGCCCACCTCCAGCTACCTTCTGTTCCAGGCCTTTCTCCACACAACAGGCAGAATGGTGTTTATCTAAAACATAAGTTCAGTGATGTCCCTCAGCCTGTTTAAACATTTCCTGGCAGACTCAACACACACGCAGACTCAATCACCTCTCCCCCACCCACCCAGCTCTCTGGAATCTTCTCTGCCTCCCTCCCTGTCAGACCCCCAGAACCTTCATGGCATACTGAGCTTGCTTCTCACTGTCTACAGCCATCTCTACTCTGGGACCCCAGAGGGAGGGATCAGCTCCTGCACCACTCATACCTTTTCTGGTTAGCCTGCCCTCCATCCCTCCTTTCCCTCTCCCATAACTCCCATAAATATATGTTGTTGGGCTCGTGTACTCAACCAAACAAGACGTGAGAACCATTATTTCAAGGTAAAAGCAGGAGTGTTGACATGTTTGCATTTCTAAAGACCTGCGGCTGCTGCTGGGAGCTGCTGGGGACAGGAACTAGTCTTTCCAGCCCTATCCAGCCAGGAACTGACTGCTCCTCAAGTCTTTCCCCACTGCTGTCTTCCTGACACCCCACCCACACACCAGGGCTGCCCTTGAGGAGAAGGGGACTTCCCCTACCTGGAGCAAACTCATTATTTTAGAAATTCAGTTTCTTGCCCAAGCCTGAGCACACGAGTGAGAGGATCTGAGAAGGGAAGCCTGGCCCAACCCTCTTGGAATCCTCTCTTCCCTCCACCACTATGCACATCGCCTGGAGCACCACCCACACTCACGTATTTGAGGAAAAGATGAAGCTCTTGGTGATCTTGGGGGTTGACTGTGGCCTCAAAAAGGGGCAGGAAGATGTTCTCCAGCATCTTCCCAAAGCTTGGCAGCAGCTTCTTTGCCCTAAATATGTCACTGGGGGAAAACAGAGACTTGCTGATTGAAGTGAACCCAACGTCCCCGTTGGCCTGTGGGAGGGCAGTCCCATCCTTTTCTCAAGCAGCTTGTGTTCCCATCTAAACACCCAGAGCAGAGCCAGAGATGTGGCTTAAACACAGGTCCTTCCTCTCTTCTCCAACTCCCAGCAAGGTCTGCAATACTAGGCATTGGTTTGCAAACTCAACACCCACCCCTGCCCATCAGAGAGCTTTCCCAAGCTACAGGCCATGCTGGGAGTGGAGTGTTGGGACTCAGGCTGACCCAAGTTCTAAGAGATGAGTTCTCAAATTTCTCAGTGATCCAAACTCGCTGCCACTCAGCTCAGTTCCCCTAAACTGCATATCCCAGCCCACTGAGGGACAATGAGCCCCACACTGGCCAGATGGGAGAGGCCAGTGGTCGTCTGAATCATAGCCAAGGAGAGGGCCAGCATGTGGCATGTAACCACTAGGTTACTCATACCCTTGGGCTCACACAAAAGGATCATCCACCCTCAAACCCCAACGGGTAGTAGTTCCTACTAGGCTTTGCGCAGGCTCGTTTGTCAAAGAACAAGGGTTGAAGTGTCACAAGGATGTTTGCTGACCACCCCTCGCTAGGGGACAATCTCTAGGGAGGAGAGGCCCAAGCTGGCACTAGCACCAGCCCCACCAGAATAGCGCAGACCCAGCGGCCCATGAGGGCATGGCAGACAGCAAGCCACCTCACTTACTAGATCCGGGGCACCTGGATGATCCAGCGCATGTTGGGGGAGTAGACCTTGTGCTGGATGAACCAGTGGGCCAGGTTGGGCCACTCCTCGGGACTGCGGCCGTAGATGGAGAGCCGTGGCTCTGAGTACTGGTACTTGCTCTCCTCCATCTCCCTGGCCACCTCCTAACACCAAGAAGAGCTCGGGTCAGCCCAAGAGCACCCCAGCTGCTGGATCCTGCAGCTTCCTCAGCCACCTGCTCCCAGGCTGGGAAGACCTGATCTCTGTCCCCTAGCTGCCATGTAACTACTCCTCCACCCCAGTCGAGGCTCCTTTCATGCATAACCAGGCCAGGCAGCAGAAGCATCTCCAAATGGAGCTAACCTGCCCCCAGCCAAATTCAGGCTGCAGACAGACAGGGCGGTGAGCCTGGATGCCGTGAGCGCCAGGATACCCTCTCCTCCTCTGGCCTGCAGTCAGCACCTGCAGCACCAGCCCGCCCGTGCTCAGGAGCTGGCAGCCAGGGCCACCACATGGGCCCCCTGGGCACCTTAGCCTTGCCTGAGCTGGATGGTGGGCCCACAGGGATTTGGGGAGGGGGAAACAGGAGGCCATGCAGCGCCCCCACCCTCTGCAGGCAGATGCTGTCAGGGATCTGGGGAGGGCTTGACTCCCAAGGGCTCACTCGCCTTGACCATCCGAGCAAAGTACTCTCCTCCCAGGTAGTTTTCAGTTTTCAAATAGAGGTCGCGCAGCTCACTGGCCCCCACAGGGTTGTATTTGGAGTTGAACTTGTCAAAGCGATGGAATGTCTGCCGACCCTGGAGAGAGGAGACCACCAGGCAGATGGCCATATTGTTCTGCAGCTACCATACACGCATGTTTCCCTCTCCAGGCCTTTACGAGGTGGCCCTATGTGTGGCCATGCTAACCGATATCTTCTATGTCCATTCTTGCATGAACTCTTGGAAAGTCCTGGAGCCAGGACGTGTATCCTCACTCAGCCAGCCTGGGGGTCCTTTAGTGAGGCCCTCTGTGAAGATCAAGGGGCCTCGTGCTCCAAGGCGCCATGGCTAGGAGCCCAGCTGACTGAGTGAGCAGAAAACACCAAACTGTAACAGTCAGTAATACAATGTGTCTGTTACTGCTTGGACTTCCTAAGACACCTTCTGCACATTACTCATTTTGTGTTTGATTGGTTTTACGAAGATTTTTTTATTGTGGTAAAATATACATAACACAAAACTTACCTTCTTAACCATTTTTAAGTGTTCAGTTCAATGGTATGAAATGCATTCATTATGTTGTGCAACCATCACCACCATGCATCTCCAGAACTCTCTATCTTATAAAACTGAAACCTGGTACCCATTAAACGATGATTCCCCACAACTCCTTCCTCCTGTCCCTGGTAACCACCACTCTCCTTTCTGTCTCCATGAATTTGCCTACTCTATGTACCTCATGCAAGTGAATTGTACATTAACTGTCCTTTTGTGTCTGGCTTTTTTGACTTAGCATCATGTGTTCAAGGTTCATCCATATCATAGCAGGTATCATACTTCATGCCTTTTTAGGGCTGAATCATATTCCAGTGTATGTTTTTACACATCTTGTTTACCCATTCACCTACTGTGGACACTTGGGTTGTTTCCACTTTTCAACCATTGTGAATAATGCTGCTACCAGCGTGGATGTGCAAGTATCTATTTTCGTCCCTGCCTTCAGTTCTTCGGGGTATAGTCCTAGGAATGGAATTGCTGGAACATATGGTAATTCTATATCTAACTTTTTCAGGAAACTCCATACTGTCTTCTAGAGCAGCGGCACCATCATTTAGTTTTTAATAACTGTCCTGTCAATAAGGCACATGGCAGTCCCCATTTTATAAGCAAGGAAATAAAAGTGTAAGCGAATCGCTTAAGGGCCCACGACTCCCAACCAGCAGAAGGAGAATTAGAACTGGGACCTGTCTGACTCCAAGCCACATGCACTTTTCCCCTGTCCCATGGCCCTGTTATTCCCTGAGGCCAGATTCCCTTTCACATCTCTATGGCTGGAAGGGACAGGGCCGCAGCCTCTCCCTGGGCACAGCCGTGGTCTTCTTCCCCCGGGGGCGGAGTGCTCGCCCAGGATGGTGGGAGGCACTGGGGCAGAAGCTCACTCACCGCATGGACGTCCAGGGAATCCACAGTGAGGTCGTACGGGTCCATGTGCAGGCTGTCGAACACCTGCCGCAGGGTGATCTTGCGGCCCCGCTTTTCGGCCACGGTCCTGTCGGACTCTGTCTGGTACGTGTGCTTGATGAAGCGCAGCAAGTGCTTCTGGTTCATGCACGCAGCTGCGTGGATGTGTGTGTCCACCTGCAGCGCAGTGCCCACCAGCCATGAACCAGGCGCCCTCTCCCCACTGGCAAGGAGACAGGGTGTCCAACCCTCAAAGTGGCGCGTGAAACCTCAGCACCCGCGGTCCCACCAATGCCTGGACCTACGCCCCTCCCCTCAGTGTCTCCTCTAGACTTCAAAACTGGTCCTCCTTCTAGCTTTGCTGCCCTACTGACCTCATTACAGCAGCCAGAGATCTTTTTAAAATGTAGATTGGGTCTGGCCACTCGCCTGCTAACAAATCATCAGTGGCCCCCAAGTCTTCAAGAGAAAGCCCAGGCTCCTTCAACTGGGATTCAAGGCTTGCTTCCAGTTCCCACATTGCCACTGCCCACTCTGCGCTCCAGCCATGACCTACCACTAACAGGTGCCCAAGGCACTGTGCTATTCTGCACTGCGTCACTTTGCCCATGCGTCTCCTCTGCTTGGCATGCCTTCCTTGCTCCTCACCAATCTCATCCACCTACGCGCGATTCCTTACAACCTCCTCCACTTGGAAGCCAATCCTGACCCCCCCGGCACACTGACCAGTTGTTCCCTTGGCCGGCCGGGAAAGCTAGCGCACACCCTCCCGTGACTGTCCACGTCCTCCCAATTCACTCTACAGATTTCCCCTCCACTCTGCCACTAGACTGAGAGCGCAGTCCTCAAGGGACAGGGACTTCAGCTGATGCATCTCAGTCTCCAACGCCTACCCCACAGCCTAGTATGACCTATCTGTTGAATCAGTGGATGGATGAATGAACAAATGGTGATATCCACATCCTCATATAACCCCAAGGACCCGCCAGATGCCCCACCAAATACCATTCTTCCCACTGACCTCTCTTGGAGCATTCCCTTCAGCCAGCGGCCCTAACGCAATGGAGCCCTAGCCAAGCTGAGGGATGGCCTGAGGTCACAGTGGGCATCCTGACTCCCCTTGCCTGAGCCCAGGGGGCCTCAGAGAGGGCCCCAGGGAAATGGCAGCAGCCTCACAGGCCAGGATGCTGCCAACCACCAAACTGTGCTCTGCAGTTCCTACCGCAGCCAACTGGGTACTCTGCCAGGGCTGGGATGAGGAGGCGGCTGACCTGTGGCCAGGGAATGCTGTCCACAGCTGGCCAGGCATCTCTGAGTCATGTCAAACCAGACATTTGATCTACTGAATCTCTGTGAACGTTATACAAGCCAGCCCTTGTCATTGGCCACATCACTGACTCATCGGGGCCCTTCCTGCCATTCATCCTGCCACCTCCAACCAGAAAGACAGACTACTAGACATCAGAGAAATAAAGCCATTCAAAGCGCCAAAAGCTAAAACATCACCCAAAGCACTGTGCAAAGGTGCAGTCACCTCAGGGGCAGGCAGGGCTCATGTGGGACGCCCAAGTGGTCAGCCTGGCTTAGCTCAGCCAGACACAGCTGGACTCAACGACCTCAGCATGACATAGCACATTTTGGGTTTTCTGGTTCTGTCCTCTAGCACACCAGTGACACACTGCAGGGGGTGCAGGCTGTCCTTACCCCCACAAGTCACAAGATGAGGGAGAAAAATAACTGGACAATCCAGGAAGCATCCAATCCAAATTTCAGAAGGTCCAAGGTGATTATTTTAGGAACAACTAAAAGAGCCCATCATTGGATGTCAGTGTTTTCAATTCACCAGAAGATACCAGCGCGTATCTTGCTTTCACCTCGGGCCCAGGTCTAAGCAAACAGTACAGTTTACAAACTGGCCATTTCCACATGCATGTCAGACATCAATAATCGATTGCAGCACTTTCACTAAGCATTGGGAGTAACCACTGCCAACTGGTCAAGTTTGGCGCAGAAGATGAAGCCAATTTGCTCTGCTTGATATATGACACTTAAACCAAAATGGAGAAGGCCCAATCTTACCCAACTCCTAGGCAGTAAACACACTCAGCCCTGGTTCTTAGCTCTGAACAAAAAACAAACATCTCAGTTACACAGTCCTGCTGGCTGGGCCGCATGGTGTCATAAGTCATGCCCTGCTGTGAAGTTGCAGGCGCTTTCACAAACACCACCCACACAGACCCCTGGCCACTCACAGCTCCTGCCTTAGCACACGGCCCTGGCCTGCCCTCCCAACACTGACAGCCACCTTGGAAATACAGAGGCCACCCTCCCAGCCCACCCGGGGTTTCAGAAAGCCAGCTCTCTTCCCACAGAAGAAGCTTCCAGGGCAAGATAAAGCAGCCAGCACCCGGGAGACAGGGAGGGGCAGGAGAGGCCTGACTTGGAGTACATCCGGGCCCATGTTTATGGACTGCTGTGATGCCAGAGAACAGGCCACTGAGTCACAGCACAGGGGTCAAGGTCATCCCTATCCAGAGAACACATTAACCCCCAGACCGACAGGGAACGCCTAGGGGTAGGTGACCACAGGCCCCCCGCCCCCCACCAGGACTCTGTCCCGTATGACAGCCAGGGAGCAGCTGGAACACCCACTGGGGCCCCACCTCAGGAGCAAACAGTGTCCCAGCCATGCAGCTAGCAGGAACACCTCAGCCGCAGGGAGCAGGAAGCAGTCAGGCCCGGAACGTTCATGCAGAGGGCGGGGCTGCACGGGGCCAGGCAAGGAGCTTCCTCAGGCACCCATCTGGGCATGGGGGGTGCATTCAGGCAGGACTGAGAGGAACTGGCATGGTGCCTGAAGCACCTACCTGTCTGAGCCCCTGAGCCTCACAGAGAAGGAGCAAGCAGTGTTCAAGGGTGAGAATGCCAGGTGGGTGATTTCTAACACATCCTCTCACCCCTACCTGGAGCCCCCTGAGAAACTTCCATAAGCCTCACAGCCCACGAGCTGAAGCCACCTCTCACTCTTAAGGTCCCATCCAAGTGGGAGTCCATGCCAGACCCCATGATGCTTAACAGGGGTGACCCTGGGGCCTCCCTGGAGGAGGCCGTCTGTCCATCACTGCTCAGTGTTCCCAATCAGGTCAGGGAGGCCTGGCCTCCACAGAGGAGCCGCATCCTCCCCTGACTAACGCTCCCTTATCAAAGCTGACCCCAGGGAGGAGGAGTCCTCAAGGGGTCACATCTGGGACAGAATCCCCTCTGGAGATGAGGACGCCACAGTGAGTCAGCTTGGGTTTGGCCATGAGGCAAAGCCTAATCCCCACCCTTTCCCCCTGAGCTTCTCTCCCAGAATACTACCATGCCCCCTCCCCGCTCCCTGCTTCCTCTGAGAAACCCAGCCCCCCCCCCACATGGTCCAGAACCTCACATACCTCCACCACCTCACTCTCCCCACAGCCCAGCACCATGCTGTCCCCCACACCGGAGCTCCTGTCACACCACACACTGGACATAGTTTCTCCTCTCTCATGGCACAGCACTCTCTCCCTCTTAGTCTTCGGCATATGCTGTGCCCTCTGCCTGGAATGCCATCCCTTCCATTCCCTTGCCCCCGCACCCCCTCCCCGCCGCCCAGGCTGACTCCTATGCACTCTTTTAAGTCAGCTCAGTTCTGGGCTCTTCCTGGAAGCCACAACACTTCACACTGAGAGGACAGGGCTAGGAACTTCTCGGGGACGGTCAGTGACTCCTGTTCAATATCAAACACCCCAGGCTTAGCACTGATATTAGTTAAATGGAAGAAAATGGAACAGCTGGAGGCCATGACCATTTAACACACACACCTGCCCCAGCCGCAGCCGCAGTCCCCGAACCCAGGCTAAGGCTGCTCATGCACCCTAGGGGAGGGGCAAGACGGGAGTGCATTGGATGCTTTTCCTTACCTACTTCTGGTCCAGAAGGAAGCAAAACCACCAACTCCCAAGTCCAAAGAGGTCTTAACAGCCTTTTCTCTCCATGATGAATTCAATACATCCTCCACCTTACAAGTAGCCTGGCCTCAAGTCTTATGACCAATTAACAGACCATACCTTATTTTCCAAGTTAGAGGGCACATTGCAACAGACACACAACACGGACAAAGGTTTCCACCTAGAGTCATACCAAGTACCGTTTGAGACATGGCCCGGCAGAGGGAAGGCAACTCGCCAGTCTTTCTTCCACACGTACACATCACACTCCTCTGGCCAAGGAAGGCCACACAGGGGACCAGCCGCAGACTGGCTCAGGGCATCCCAGTGGGTTGGGAGGGGGACTGGGAGGGGTTGCTCTCAATAGTGGCCCAATGACGCACCTTTCTCACGTTATAGAAGTCTCGGTGGGGGTTACTCTTCAACTCTTTGAACTCAGACATTTCATTTAACATCTCATGAAGGCTGAACTTGGATTCCAGGAAGTTCAGTCGCCGGTGACAGTATGTTTTCCTGCAGGTGGGGAAGGGGGAGAAACCCCAGTTGAAGAGAAGTCACACGGAGCTCTCCAGTTTGGAGACCTCCAGCAGCTGTGGGGACCGGCCCTCAGGTGGAAGGTCAGGATGTAACAGAGAGGGATGTGGCGGTTCCAGCTTTCTGCAGATCCAGCTGGACTGTGTAACCACCTCCATGTGTTCTGTGACATGAGTGGAGGGTCCATTCAGGGCGGTGCAAAGCTGACTTTGCGACCTCGTGCAGGTTCTTGGACTTCTAGCTGTATGTGCTTAGGCAATTCATCCCAAACCTCTGTTCCCCACGAACAAGTATGGAGATGGCAGTGCCCAAGACTGAGCAGAGTGGATGCTCAGTAAAGGTCTCCCTCCTCATCCCTTCCTTCCTTCTGTGTTCCCATCGATCCTCGGCCACCTTTAACTCCTTAAAAGGAGTTTCACTTCTGCCCAGAACCTCAGTAATACAGCCAAACTATAAGGCAAGACCTGCCCACATTGGCATGGGGAGAAAGCATCCGGTGACCTAATGACATTCCACAACCCCCGAGACCTGAAGACCCTTCGACTCTGAGATTTCAGGACAAGCAGAGGAGGTTTTGTATCACGAGCAGATGAGGAATGCAGAGATGTTTGTTACTAGGACAGAAATCTCTGCAGGGACTGATGCTCCCGCCAGTCAGCAAAGGCCACCAAGGGTGGGAATGCTCACTGCTCCCAGCCAACTTCCAGCCCACACCCAGCCCAGGGCTTGGCCATGTGCCTGTGCCCACAGCCACACGGAACTTCCAACCACAAGTCATGCCACCCTGCTTCCTGTGACCCCCAAACAAACAGCAGCTCCCTTGGCAAGAAATCACTCGGACTTCCATCAGGAGCAGCTGCTGACCCTGGAACAGCACCATCATGTCGACCGAGACAATCCCCAGAGAAGAGCTCAGAGGAAGCATGAAGAGTCTGAGTCAGGAGGGATTTCAAAGGCCATCTCACCTAGTCCCTTTACCAGCAGGACTGGCCTGGACAGCCTCTGGGACAGGACAACCCCTGCTCACATACCTCCTGGAACAGCCAGGGCCCTCCCCCTCCTCTCCCTCCCAAGGCTTCCCCTCATAGCTCTTCCTCACATGGCAGAGGCAAGCCTCCTGGAAACTGCCTTTTCCCCCTACCGGACCTTAGCTCTACCCTCAGATCAGGGAGGCCTGAGACCCACTCTCCCCAGGGAGGCCTGAGACCCACTCTCCCCACCCCCCTGGGACCCACCCTCCTCCCTTGGAAACTGGCATCACACCATTCCCTGCAAAACCCTGAAGGCAGGGCAAGAGAGTCCTGGGCAGTGACCGCACCCTTTTCCTGCCCCCACTGCCGAGTCCTGGCCAAGCACTCAGCACAGCCATTCCCCGGCTCAGGGGCCAGGCCTGCTGATTAGCTCAAGTGCTCACCAAGAAGGGAGGGACCAAATGCAGGGAGACAACTGCCTTCCAGTTTAGCTCAAGCCAAGCCCACGAGGGAGCAAGCATCCTGGGGGTCATGGCACAAAGCTCCCAGGCTCCCTGCACTCTCCCCTCCAGAAACACGGAAAACCCAACAACCAAAGCAACAGTCTTCTTCTCTCCTCCACCGTCTATTGATGCCCTGGGCTGGACCTCTGCAAGGCTGCCACCCTGAGTGGGGAAAGGGAAAACTGCCACTTTAAGAAACAGAAGTTCCAGCTTTAGGATGCAGAAGAGACAGGTAGTACTGACTCTAAGAACATGCCAGCCTATGATGGAAAATTGTCGCAGGAACCCACAAAGCACGGGGGGAAAGGGAAAGTACTCTCTTTCTGGGATGATTTAAGTGCAGGAAAGCCCAGAGTAAAAGGGGGACCTGGTTGGCCTTTCCCAGCCCCTTCCTACAGAACAGCCACCATGCAAAGAGAGGCAGACTTGGGGGAAGCCGGCTTACGTGGGGCCATCTGTGATGAGAGCCAGGATGTGGCTCATGTCCACGGTGTAGGTCTCCAGGTCGGGGTAGGGCAGGCTGTGGGGCTCCTGGCGCTCCAGCATCTTCTTGTTATCGTACACGAAGAGGATGCCCCCCTGCATGCGGACCAGGTAGCCCAGGTTGGGGGGAGCATTGTCCAGACAGTAAGGGTCTTCCTGGGGCAGAGGGGGAGGGTGGAAGTCTGCAAAACAGGATTGAGTGATTGCAAAGTGCCCTTGACCTCATGAGCTCACGTGAGCTCAGAAGTCACCTCAGTGAGGGCTATCCTCATCATCTCATCTAAAACCCAACCACCCCCACCACTCTCACCTGCCCTGACATCACATATCTCCTTCCCTCCTTTATATCATCTCCTTGGCATCTGCCACTATGGAAAATAATTCCACTTGGGGCTTGGGTCTTTTATGTTTGGTTTGTTTACTGCTGTATCCGCATTTCCTAGAACAGCCCCTGGCACATGGCTGGCACTTCAGTAAATGTTTTTAATTTAACTGAAATGAGCTTCAGCCTCCTGGGCATGACAGGGACTCCAGGCACATTAGAAAGGGCTGTTGTGTCCTCTCCTAATAAAATAACAGGCAGCACCTGGGACTGCCCAGTGGGAATAATTGTCCCTGTCCTCCCACATCTTCCTGAGCCCGGGGCAGGCAAGGGACTAGATGGAAGGAGGGCTCCTCTCCTCCCCAAATAAGCACAGAATAGGCAGCTCATCCCCCACAGAGCAGGGAATGGCAAAGACAGAGTTCTCTGTCCCCAGGGCTGTTAGCCCACAGGAGGCAGAAAATGCCGCTTGGCCATTTCCCAGCTATGAGACTGAACAAACCACTTCACCTCTCTGATCCTGCCTGCTCATCTGAGAATAACACACCCTGCCTTAATGGGATGTTGTAAAGGCTGCAAACGTGGGTATAAGCAATGCTTTGTAACAGTGATGCCTATAACCCATCAATTAGACGACATTATTCACGTCACTCTTACCATGAGTTCTCCTGACTCTAGAGAAGCTCCGTCTCTGGCCAAGGAACAGAGGTTATGCTCAATAGCAGTAGATCTGGGGGCTCTGACTCTGCACACCAGCCAACCCCACATAGGGCACAGCTGCTCAGCTGCCAGCCTAGGCAGGCGGAAGCCCTGGCATCTTCATTGAAGAAAGCAGCCAAGGCCTGGTGACCTGCCTGGGTGTCCCCCAGTCAGTGCTCGGAACAGACCGCCCCAGAGAACACATGAGGCATCACAGGGGCTGAAGCACGTTCCCCCATCAGGCACAGCCCCTGGCTAGCTCAGGAGTCCCTGAAGTGTGCCAGGGGCCTGCAAGAACCCACAGCGTCTGCCTCACCAGGCTCATTCCCAGGCCCCCTCTGTTTTGTATAAAGTACACATCTGACAGCTGGTCCTGTCTGCCCTTGCCAAAACTGGGGCAGGTAGCTTCAACTTGCCTCAGACAGTTAGGGAAATGGGCCCGGAAGGGCTGAGATTTAACCAGGGTCCCAGGTGGTCACAGATGCTCAACATCCACATCTCAGAGCTTCAAGGAAAACCTGGACAGGAGACCCCTTGGCACCCATTACACCCAGAGGGCAGCCAGGGTCCTGGGCACTGGCACAGACCAGCAGGCCCTTGCCTGATCCCCCAGTACCACCTTTACAGATGGTGGTTTCTTGTTGTCTTCATTCATCTTACCTAACTTACTTACGGCCTCTACTGCTCCTAGGTCCTTCTCAGACCAGACTCCCCCAGAAACCATCCTGCCATCTCTGATCTCTTCTTCCCCAAATTCTGCAGTTTAAATGCAGCTACCATTGACTGAACACTCACTCACCAGGTGCCAGAACTGCACTAAGTACTTCATGTGCATTCTCTCATTCAATCCTCAGAACGGACCCAGGGTATAGATATTAGTCCCATTTTACAGATTGAGAAACTGAGGTTTGCCCAAGAGAGTGGTGGAGCTGAGACCAGAAGGTAGGTGTGTTTGATTCCAGAGCCTACTTTCCCTGCCCCCAGAACATGCACTCTGCATCTACCCCCATTCTACCCCACCCCACTAGCAAATTCAGCATTTACAGTCGTGGTGTTGTGGGTTTTTTGGGGGTTTTTTTGAAGATTTTATTTATTTATTTGAGAGAGAAAGACTGAGACCGAGAGAGAGCATGAGAGGGGGGAGGGTCAGAGGGAGAAGCAGACTCCCTGCTGAGCAGGGAGCCTGATGCGGGACTCGATCCCGGGACTCCAGGATCATGACCTGAGCTCAAGGCAGTCGCTTAACCAACTGAGCCACCCAGGCACCCAGTCGTGGTGTTGTTTTAAATATCCAGGATGAGATTGCCTATCTCTCTGAACTGCTATAGCTCAGTTCTACCTAGGGCAGAGCATAGAGCGCACACAGAAGGAATCCTTGGGTGTAGGAAGCCCATACCAGGGCCCTGTCCTTAAAACACCATCTGGGACAAATATATCCAGTCAGGAAAAAGTCCTGACCAACTCTTGGGCCATGCCCCACTTAGGACCCCCCATGCACCCACAGTGCCCTACCTGGGAGGCCTTCTTCTGGAGGCATGGTGTCTACCCGCCGATGGCCCAGGTACTGGGCAGTGGTCCGTGGAAAGCGGTGGTAGGCAAGCCTGGAATACTTCTCCCGTATCATCAAGGCCTTGGCCAGGCTCTTGGCAGCCTGCTCATAGTCCTCCACAGTGATCTGCAGAAGGGGGTGGGCAGAGAAGAGTCCACAGAGCAGGACTGGGACCAAGGTCCATAGCAAGATCTCCTGCAAAGTTGGCTTTCAGCTGGCAGCTGAGAACTTGGGTTTCAGGTGCCTTCCCCCACTCGCTAATATGAGCAGCTCATCCAGCCTAAACGGTTTGCAAAAACACTACGGTTTATGCCGAACACCTGGTTTTCTCTGGGAGTCTGGAAGACAAGGTTTTTATTAACCTTGGGTGCTGAGTCTCTGATGAGCTTCCATGGTAGACGACACTTCAAATATGTCATGAGTCGATGCTGAAGGAATGAAGTGTGTTCTGCTGACGCCACGGGGAGAGGAGTCTGGGTTCTGGGAGATTCTACTGCCTGTCCCTTTTCCCTGTGCTGACTTCGCTCTGCATCCGTTCACTGTAATAAATCCTAGTCCTGAGTACAACTCTGTGCTGGGTCCTACGTGTCCTCCTAGTCAATGACTGAGCCCAGGGACCCCTGGCCCAGGCGGAGAATGAGGGCTGCTGGAGACTCAGAGGAAGGCAGGTCCTCCAGCCTGCACCCCCAAGACCAGCCTCTGGTGCTGCTAGTGAAACCACAGCCCTCCTGCTGCACCCTGAACATGAAGAGCCAGGGCCTGGACCATAGCCCTGACAAGGGTGAGGATCATCACTTTCACTGGAGAAAACACAGGGGTCCCCCAGAGGTAAACATAAAAACTCGGCATGCTCAGTCTGCTGCTTTGCCACCCCCTGGCTTCTGTTTCGTCACCCAGTCAACAGGCACTTATTGGCAAGTGTTAGATTTCATTTTGGTCCTCACAGCAACCCATTTTACCAAGGGGGAAACCGTGACCCAGAGAGGATAAATCACTCGCCAGAAGTTACAAAGTCGGACTTCAGATTCTGATCTGATTGGCTCCCTGCACCTAAGCATGTTCTGCCTTCCCAGAGCTGCCTGTTTCTCAAAGATGGAAGAGAGAAATTCCCACCTTCCAGTGGGCTCATTTATCTCTGTCTGTCTGGGAAGGAGGTGTGTGGCAGAAATCCAAACGTGTCTGGGGAGACAAGCAGCTAAACTGACAGTCATAACAGGATGTAAGTGACACAGAGCAGAGGGAGGTACAAGATGCCGGTGGAGCATGGGGGTGTGGGGCGTGTTCCTGGAAGTTTCCTCTCTGCTTTAATTAAAAACCACTTTTAGTTTTAAAACATTTTTTTTAAAGATTTTATTTATTTATTTATTTGAGAGAGAGAGAGAAACAGCATGAGAGGGGAGAGGGTCAGAGGGAGAAGCAGGCTCCCCGCTGAGCCGGGAGCCCAATGTGGGACTCGATCCCAGGACCCTGGGATCATGACCTGAGCCGAAGGCAGACGCTTAACCAACTGAGCCACCCAGGCGCCCAGTTTTAAAACATTTTAAACACACAGACAAGCAGTGAAGATAATATGACAGACACCAATGTGTCTACCTTCCAGAGCTAAAACTTCTAATGTTTTTCATTACTGTTCCAGATCTCCCATATATTTGAATAAATAAATCATCACAGACACAGCTAAAACTCCACCCTCCCTGCTCCTCCACCCCACTCCAGGCTCAGAGGAAGGAAGCTGGTATATAGCTTTCCCATGCATGTTTTTATACTTTTACTCAATGTTGCTCCTCGCTTTTGTTAAGAAAGTAGCTTCTCCCTTCCTGATTCCACGGGTCCCCACATTAATTCCATTTTACACCTTCCAGTGGACGGATTCTGAGAGCAGCAGGAATAGGTGAATAGACACAAACATCTTAGAACCTTAGACAAAAACATGTCCCTGCCAATGACAAAGCCAAACACTTGGCAAAGCCAAAGGACTCAGCAGGGCAAGGGGCTCAGGCCATGGCTAAAGTATCAGAAAGGGTGCTCAGGAGCCCAGTTGACCAGCAGTCACCAGCCAGCTTATAGACACTGTGGGCCCTATGCCCGGCAGCAGGCCCACTGAGAGCCAAGGTGATCTGTAAGGTCAGCCTGCCTTTCATGGACTCATAGCTCTCTAGGGACCAACTGCCCAATTCAGGGGCTCCATGCCAGGAGACCGATGGAAGAAGCTAGCTACTACACCAAGCCAACATCCTCCCATTCAGCTGGCTGCCGGTCCACCTCTACTCCCCCTTCTCCTGTTCTGCCCACATGTCAGAGGCCAGGTAGATATTAGGGACTCCTGGTCAGGATGCTGCATCTTCAAAGAAGGCCTGCATTGTGTCCAATCCAACAAAATTCCCATCCATAGGAACTTAAAGTGTGGTACACCCACACAGTGGAATATTATGCACTTGTTAAAAAAAAAAAGAACAAGGATGTTCTTTATATATTAATACGGCATTATCTCCTAGATGTGCCGTTAAGTGAGAAAAGCTAGAGTCAGTATAATGTGTATAGTAAACAACCATTTATGTAAAAATAAACAAATTATATGTGCCAATTAATTTTAGATACACATAAGAAACCAAAGCCAAGGATTGCCTCAAATAATAAAATATTTGGGGGGCATCTGGGTGGCACAGTCGGTTAAGCATCCGACTCTTGATTTCAGTTCAGGTCATGATCTCAGGGATGTGAGATAGAGTCTTGCATCACGTCGGGCTTCATGGCTCAGCAGAGAGTCTGCCTGGGACTCTCTCTCCCTCTCCCTCTGCCCCCCCTCCACCTTGCACATGTGTGTGCCCTCTCTCTCAAAAAAAAAAAAAAAAAAAAAACGAAGAAGAAGAAGAGAGAGTTAACAAGGACAAGGACAACTGAGGTGTGGGTAGCAGGTTGAGGGCCAGGGAGAGAGAACCAAACTTAACCCTGTACTAAGTGATACTTCTCTTCAAGAAGGAAGCAATAAAAATGCATCATCCAACCAAGAAAATTAGCACATTTTCAGTGACTGAGCTTGTTCATTTTCTCATCAAGACCCCCTCTTCCGGGGCGCCTGGGTGGCTCAGTCGTTAAGCGTCTGCCTTCGGCTCCTGTCATGATCTCAGGTTCCTGGGATCAAGCCCCGCATCGGGTTCCCTGCTCAGTGGGAAGCCTGCTTCTCCCTCTCCCACTCCCCCTGTTTGTATTCCTTCTCTCGCTGTGTCTCTCTCTGTCAAATAAATAAATAAAATCTTTAAAAAAAAAAAAAAAAAAAACTCTTCCTGGTTGGGAGGGTCTAGCCTGTATTTAAGGATACTGAACCGAATCCCATAGGAGGAGCTGAACCAGCAATGACGGATTCCACACAAACCAGTCAACACGTGGACTTCGAGTCCACTCAACATTTGGAAACACTCAAGGGTCTGAGCTGGCATCTTCCTCAGTGGGCTGCATTCTGGACCCACAGAACACAAGGACCTTGCAGGCCACAGGCCCAGTGTGCCAGCCCGCAGCCCTCGCCCCGCCCCCACAGGAAGGAGCAGTGCCCTAGCCACACCCACACCCCACAACCTCCACTAAGACCCTCCTTCTCTTCAGACTCCTGTGCCTCCTGCCCACCACCTCCCAGACACCCGTGGACCAGACCAAGCTTCAGCGCTAGGCATGTCCCTGGTGGCCAAGGACCCCGGCCTCTGCACAAAGCACATGGGCCCTCACGCAGGCCCCAGGGGCACAGGTAGAGAGTGGGGAGTGGGAGATGCCTTACCCCGGCACAGTAATCTCCACTGATGGTGACCCGCTGGAACTCGGGCATGGCATAGGGCACTGGCGTGGGCTGGGAAGTGGTGCCAGGGAGCACAGGGGTCGTGGGAGACATGACCGGACTGGCCGTCGGGGGGCCCTTCCAATCTTGCTGCGTCGGCATTTGCAGAGACAGGGACTGGGACCGAATCATCTTGAAACTTTTCTTTCTAAAAGTCAAGGACAAGGAAAAGTGGGAAACATCAGCCACGAATTGGGGCAAGTAATAAAGAGTCTTTGTTATGCACATGGCAGGAGAATTGCCCTCTGATTCATCACTGGTACTGGCCCTACCATTAAGAAATTGCTCATTATGGGGGCGCCTGAGTGGCTCAGTCGCTTGGGCGTCTGCCTTCGGCTCAGGTCATGATCTCAGGGTCCTGGGATCGAGCCCCGCATTGGGCTCCCTGCTCTGTGGGAAGCCTCCTTCTCCCTCTCCCACTTCCCCGCTTGTGTTCCCTCTCTCTCTGTGTCTCTCTGTCGAATGAATAAATAAAATCTTTAAAAAAAAAAAAAAAAAAAGAAATTGCTCATTATGCCTTCCTCTCACTCACATCTTTGCCTGAGGTACCCAACAGCCCTGCAGACAGCCCTCCCTGGGGTCACAAAGAATGGCCGTGGCCTGTGTTTACACGGCACACAGAACCTTGGGGCGGGCGCCTGGGTGGCTCAGTTGGTTAAGCGACTGCCTTCGGCTCAGGTCATGATCCTGGAGTCCCGGGATCGAGTCCCGCATCGGGCTCCCTGCTCGGCAGGGAGTTTGCTTCTCCCTCTGACCCTACCCCCTCTTGTGCTCTCTCTCTCACTCTCTCTCTCTCAAATAAATAAAATTAAAAAAAAAATTTTTTTTAAAAAGAACCTTGGGGAAAGCAACTGTCTTGGGAGACAGAGGGCGGACCACACTGCCAGAGTCTCACACCGAAGGCAGGAGGAGTGAGGACCGGGTCAAGTCACCCAAACTCTAAGTTCCAGCACGTGAACAGCCTCAGGAAGGACAGTGAACAGGGTCACAGATGACACCCACCTTGTATTTCACAGAGTTCGAAATCTGGGGCACTGGAACCAGGAGAGAGCGTGACCACCCACTAGTCCCACCTCTTTTCTTCATGAAGGAGTCAGGGGCCCAGAAATAGAAGAGAGCATGCTCAAGGTCACATGGCAAGGTGGCAGCTAGCCCTTAGCCTCCTGGGGACCCTGCTCCACCTTGTCACCCCCGCTGCTCCTTCCTCAAGCCCGACATGCACCATCCGGGCCGCTGCTACTCCTGGACCAGCACAGACCTGTATCTCTATTATGGGAAAGAGAGTGGTCAGCATCAAGTTCAGGGCCCTTTGGACCTGTCACTTCAGCACCAAAAGTGATTTCACAAACTCTTGGGGAAGTGGGCACAAGGTGGTTTAAAAGGCTGCAAGCTCATGCTTATTTGCAGTGATTCGTAAATACTCACCTTCCTCATTAACTAAAGAGTAACATTTCAGTGACATCACCCCCAAGTCCTAGGATCCCCAGGAAGGGAGTTGAAGGTGAAGCAATGAGGTGAAGCCATGAGCACTCCTCTCTCCCACGTCTTTTTCTCTGCCTTTAAAGACCCCAGTCCCCCAGCATTGGAGTATCCAATGCCAGAAACTAGCTGAGGGCCCAGCAGGATAGCCAGGGCCTACAGCCACCAGCAAAAGACCCAATGACCCACCAGAGCCCATAGAACCCCTCTCTTCTCCGGGTACCATGATACCCAGAAGGGGTGGGGAAATTGCCTGATCTCCAAACAGGCGTTATGAGTCACCTGGAAGCAGTTATCTTCCTCCTGACCCTTGGCCAGGTCTCCTCACAGGCCCACTGCCAATTTTTCAGGAACCACATTGACCTCCTCTGTCTATACACCTACCACTTGCCATGACTCTCTGATCCTTATCTGCCCACCTGTGTTATCCCTTGTTTGGGGCCAGGCTGTTTGCACCTGGAAAGTAGAGGCAGCCCCTTTTCAGGAGTTTGCCTTTGCCCAGCCCATGACCCTGCATAACAGAGGCACTGAGTTGTTCCAGAAACGCAGCCTGAACTCCAGGAGCCTCCAGCCCAGGCTCTCTCCAGCCTGCCACCCATCCATTCCACAGAGTGGAACTAAGCATCCTGCCCCGAGGAAGATGCCCATTCATGCCAGTCAATCATTCCTCAGAGGCAGATTCACCTTGAGCAATAAAGCTCTCACTTCGGCATCTTTTGGACATTCACACCTACAGGAAGAGCTATTACTTTGGCCTCCCTCTAACATTCTGACTGGTTCAGCTGGATCGCATGAGACTCTGGCGTTTGTGTCACTCAGATGCCTGCCAGCTCATGGTTTTTATCTTTGCCAACTTCACGCCAACTTCACCCCCCTCCATGCCTCAGCCAATGCCGCCTGAGGGCTGGTCTCACCAAGGAGAAGCAAGATGACATCTAAGGTAAGCAACAGGTAAGAAAGGTCATAAAGCCCACCACGTTCAGGAAGCTGGAAGGCTGCCTAAGCCAGGAGCCCACCAGGCTTGTCCTAGGAATATCCATATTCTTCTGCCACAATGAGGAAGCCAGTACCCCCGAGCTGTGCCCAAAGAACTCTTCTTGAAGACATCCATTATGGCTCCATCTTGGTCTTCAAGTGAGCCCCAGATTGTCACATGTGGACATCCCTGGGCTGAGAGCCCTGATTCTACAGGCACAAGGGACAGGTTTAACAACAGAGGGGCATCTCCTCAGGGCTCACTCACCCTGGGCAAGGGCTTAGAGTAACCAGAGCTAACCATTAAGCTTGTATCTCAGCAAATTGGAAAAGCTAAATGGAGCCCAAGGAGAGGGCCCTGTATTTATTTTCTATCGCTGCATAACAAATTACCACAAGCTTGGTGGCTTAAAAGTATACCCATTTATTGGCTCACAGTTCTGTAGGTGAGAAGTCTGGGTGGGCTTGGCTGGGCTCTATGCTTGGGGTATCGAAAGGCCAAAGTCAAGATTCTGGCTTCACTGAGCTCTTATCTGGAGACTCTAGGAAAGAATCCCCTTCCATGCTTATGCAGGGTGTTGGCAGAATCCAGTTCCATGCGGCTGTAAGACTCCTGTGCCATACACTATAGTCTAATTGCAGGAGTGATGTCTCATCATATTCAGAGGGTCTGGAGTTAGAGAGGGCCATCTTTGGTGGGGGAGCATTTTAGAAATTCTACCGTAGGCCCATACATAGCATCCATTCCATCCAGTCAAGGCTCAGCCAACGAAGGTGCAGAGCAGCAACTGAGTGACTGAATGTGTGTGTGTGTGTCTGTGTGTGTGTGTGTCTCTGTGTGTCCACACACCTGTCTTTCTTTCCCTCTCAAGACCATCTGAAGCCCCACATGCGTAACAGTAATAAAAGAAGGAGCCATAAGCTTTATCTGAAGTAGAGAACCATGGGGTGTCTTGGCTGAAAAGGATTTTAAACATTACACACCCCAGTCCCCTCACTAAGACAGCCTCTGCTTAAACACCTCCACTGACAAACAGCTCACTACATTTCTGAACAAGACATCAGTCATCAATCATTTATTCAAGAAATATTTACCAAGCACTTACTCTGGGCCAGGCCAGTGCTAAGCACGGAAACAAGGTGAACAAAACATGATCTGTTGTCACTGTTAGAAAGCACTTCCTTATGATGGGCCAAGATCTGTCTGTCCACAGTCCCACCTGTTGTACCTCGTGCTAGCCCTTGGGGCACCAGAGTGAGCCAGCTCTCTCTGCCACAGCTGGAAGGCCCCCTCCTTCCCCCACCCACATATCCACCTGGCAGAAACTCAGTCCTGCCAAAAAGCTGGCCAGAGTGTGGGGCTGTGGGCATACCAGCTCCAGGCCAGGCCTGAAGGTCCAAGGGGCCAGGAGCAGCTTCATCCTCTCTGAAATGGACGGGCCTCCTGGGCCACAGAGACTTTCTTGCCCAAACAGGCCCTCAACACAAGGACATGAACTGGTCACATGGGCTGTTATTACAGTACCTTTCAGCACCTGTCTGATACCTTTCCTGCCCCAGGTCTATGGCCCTTGGCTGCCCCTGCCATTCACTGTGTCCCCATCCTTAGCCTGCCCCACTCTCCAGCCCTCCTCAGCTCCTGGGCACCCCAAAGCCTTCCCGTAATAACATTTGATTCATACGCCAAACCCAAGTTAAGACCTCAAGGCCCTCCTCAATCTTCTAGAGAACAACCAGCATCTTCCCAGGGACCTTCTGAAGCCCGCTGCCCTGTGTAGTCTGTCCAGAGAACTTCCAGGCAGGGGAAATCACCAAAGCAAACCATTCACCAAAGGCTCTCAGTTGTGTACAGTGAATCAGGAGGCCACATGCAGATCTCACTTTACTCAATAAAGTACCAAGTGTCAGGCCCCAGAGAAACTATACCCCGAACTCCAGGGGCTGACTGATGCTGGCATAGCTGGCCAGACGATTCAACAGACTGTCATCACACAATGGGGTTGGTGTGTGAGATGCTCTGGATGTTTGGGGATCCCAGAGGAGACACCTAATCAGACTGGGGGTGAGAGCAGTGAAGCAGCAGGGTCAGAGAAGTCTACCTACGTCATTCCCAAAGGGAATGGGGAACACTCCAGAATGGGCAGGCTTGTTTGAACCCTCCCCCCACACACACACTCAGATCATTCTGGCAGCCTCTACCCCTCCAGATGAGAATTACCATTTTAAAGGTTTGGGGCAAGAGTCCCAAACCAGCATGGAGATTTATTAATAGTTTGAATCTGAATGCCATTAGGTAGGGCAGGCATCCCCCACTTCCGGAGGTTCATCTGTCCCCATTGCTTCCACCATCATTGCACTGATTCCTGGGGAAGTGGGGACCCACGGTTTAAGAAGGGGAGCAGTGATTGATACCCGAGGTCACAGCCCATCCAGAAAGGAGAAAGCAGATACAGCTGACTATGGTGTGTAGTAGAGGACCATGGGGTGTCTTGGCTGGCTAAACATTACACACCCCAGTCCCCTCACTAAGTTGCAGCAGATACAGCTGACTATGGTGTGTGCCCATGATGGGTGGCCGCTGTGAGAAAGGATGCCAGGCCCTTGGGCCCCACAGACAGCACCTACTCTGTGTGCACACCAAGTGACCAGCGGCCTGCCCAGGTGGGCATAGCTTTGGTTTGCACACTTGAAGCC